TACGTGTAACGTTATATTTGTTCAGTACACTTCGGTACACACGTGTACCGAACCGAAGGGCCCATAACGAATATTTTCGGTACGAATAAGTATACCGTTACACCCCTAATCACTATCATTATTGTTTATGTCTGTCTAATTTGCAAAGGAGACCTAAAGATTATTTAGGGAATTGGTTTGTATATGTGTGAGGGAAAGAGAGAATTGATTTATTTCGTAATGCAATTGTAAATAAATTCAATACAATTGAATTGGTTTAAAAAAACAAACAAAGATGACCTGTCTTCCCAAATCAATGTCTAAAGATGTCTGTAAATGCTTAAAACAAGACATGACATTCAGACAAGCTACAGGGAGGGCAACTAAATAACCCTAAATTGTTCATGCATGTATAACATTTTGCATGTGACAGCCAAAGGTTAACCCTCACAAGCAGCTGTACCGATTGGATTGCTTTCTCCATTTTGAAAACACTTCTATGAGAATTTAGCACATGGACAATACAGCATGTTGTTTAGCTGTGGGGGTTACAACTGCTTTCTAAATAGATGGCATTTTCTCTGCACATTAACCTGCAGGTTAACATGGCTCTTTACCTCCTCTGGTCACCTTGGACTCACCTCAAAACATGCGGCTCCCTCCCCCACCTCGATGCTTTCCTTCTCTTTCCCCCTTATCTACCCCCGTCGTCCAGACCTCTTTTCCTCGCTCAACCGACTCTCTCCGGTTGCCACTGCCATCATCTTCTCTCTCAAAGCTCCTCTTTGCTCGTCATCTCCACTTTCTTGCCAATCAGGGAGTTTTGACCTCTTTGTGATGATTCATTATCTGGCACCACGGAAAGACAGACAGAATTTTTCATGAGAAATTGTTAGCCAGGAATAGTCTAAACACAGCAACGTACTTCCATCATTACATAATGATTTTCATTTTAATGAGAGCAGTGCAAATCTGTTGGGGAAAACTAAAGTCTTCATTAGTTGCAAATACTGCATGAAATCAGAGTGAGGCTGCAGAAGGACTGGCTGATCTCAAGAGCACTGCATAAAAACACACACACACACACACACACACACACACACACACACACACACACACACACACACACACCGCTTCCAGTGAAAGAGGTCTTCTGAGAGTTCTCTTGGAGGTAGCATTTAAGCCTGGCCGCTGGGGCGCAGAGCCTCTATCATTAAAACAAAGTGCAGACTGAAATCAACTGTGTTCTCCTTCACCGCCAGCACTCAGCTCTCCTCTTCATCGTGTTCCCTCCTCACTGTCCAGATCTCACACAGACAAACACAACATTAATCAGCATTGAGCCTATACGTTAGGTCATTTAGAGCTTCATTCATTCTAGACTACAAAGGTTAGTGTGTGTGTGTGTGTGTGTGTGTGTGTGTGTGTGTGTGTGTGTGTGTGTGTGTGTGTGTGTGTGTGTGTGTGTGTGTGTGTGTGTGTGTGTGCGTTTGTAAGTACTATTTGTAAGAAATATTTTTGATGGTTTGAGAATCCTTCTTAGCATGGAGATATCTGAAACCAAACAGCACATTTCCCAGTGGACCACAACATTTCTGATCATGCTGCCTCTCTACATATCAACTATGTGTGGCCTCTTATACATTTATTTCTATAGAAAAAGCTGAATTTGAATGCAGTGCTTTTTAAGGGTTAGAATTTGAATCTGAATTTAATATTTTTTTTTAAAGATGAAACATTCCTGCTTTTTAAGATCTACACTGTGAACTCTAACTTTAACATGAGTGGAAATCAAACAAAAGCTTGACATACAAGACTGGCTAAAAATATGAATGCATTCCAGGGATGAAGCGCTAAATACTTGCACTCTAAATGCAGTGGTGTGTAAAGGACACAAGCAGGGAGGGAGTCATCTGAAACTCGTGTAACGCTGCCCTGTTCTCTCTGTGAGGGGCCGCTTGATTATATCTCCCCTGCTCAGACCTGCATGTTCTCACATGGTCTATATGAGGATGATGGGATACAGAACATGACTGGGGGCCGCAAAGCGCATGTTCATATTTACATACTGTATGAATATAAACAGTTTTATCTATGAAAATCAGCATGTGTCGAGTCCCAGGCTTTATTTTGCCTTTTGTGCTCAAGGAAAACTGAGCTTTTGATCAGTCTTTGCTTGTAATATCAGAGTCTGTGCCAATACCTCCATTGAGAAGCATCAAAAATGACGTGACATTTACAAAGTAGGGTTGGTTTAACTTTTCGAAAAGGACTTTTTACACAAGTATATATAATTTAAGGTACAGTTACTCTTCCATTATATAAGGAGCCAGAATGCGCCACAGAGGTCACTGACTCATTACCCAACACTCCCACGACAAAGAACCCACCAACACGCTGACGGTGTGTGTGTTCAGCCTCTTGTGGTTTTTGTTTTTAAACAGTGCTTATGTTGGATGAGAATTTAAAAAATCCCACATATGTGTATATCCGGAGTGTCTGTAACTGGTGTCCCGTCTGTGAGTGAGATGCATTGGGAGGTCTAATACTGAGCCACCTGTTTGTCCTGCCTGCTGTTTTACTTGTGTGCATCTCCTCTGCTGCAGCTCTACGGCACATTGCACAGTAACCTGAGAGACTGGGAGCTTAAAGCACGGTGGACATTCTTTAATAATGAAGGAATACTCTGCTTACAGTACAGCGCTGGGCTTACTCACACTGTCTGGGTTGGGCTGCACTTCAAAGGCAGACAAACACTCATTATTTTCACTCAAGACTTCTTCCGGTCATATGCCAATAAAGTGCTTTAATAAAACCAACATTTTTCTTTCATGTATATTACTGAGGGGGTGGGGGATTAAATGGGAGTCCCCGGTCACTAACAGAAAGTGAAAGAGGCAGATTGATTGATAGTGGCCATTCAGTAGCAGGTGCTTCTCACTGCTACTATGCTGTAGCCACACATGTTGCAATTATAACAATGCAATTCATTTCTGGCCACAGAGGACAGATTAGCCTGCCAGTGTTGAGAGCTCAGCTCTGCTGCAAGGCTGACGTCACACCATGCTGCATTAGCCATCGTCACCACTGCAGTAACATACTTGACACTTCTCTCTTTCTTTTGCTCACTCCGTCTACTTCTCAGGCCCAGAGCAAACCTTGTTTCATTCATATCTCCCGTCTGTTCAGCAAGTCAGTTTGCTCACTATTTACCTTGTCAGTTTTCCTGTTTGTGCTTCCCCCTCTGTGGGGTATACAGTATCATCTGTCCTTCTCTCCACCTCTCCAGCTACTTCCCACCCCCTCTTCCTGTCGCTGTACCCCCTACAGTAGATTCGCTAGACCCACTCTCTCTGCTTTCTGTGCCTTTGTCGCTTTATAGATAAAACATCAAAGCACATCCTGCTTAGAGAAAAAAAGGATTTCAGGGACATTCACTTGCTCTCATTTTCTTCCTCTTAAATCCCATCTCTGGTTCTTCATTCATCTTAATCCTTATTTCCATAGGCTCCTTTCGTAGCTTCTCTTTATATGTTATCATTATTCACTTTTGTTCAAAAGATTGGATGCGTTAATCTCTTTTACATCCTATTGTTTCAACTGCTTTCATCCCCCACCTCTGAGGCTATTAGGCATTTTATGCTTGAATTGACGGCACACCTTCATTGATTTCCTAAGATCTGACACTGGAGGTCACAGGGAGAGTGAAAGTATCAAAGCTCGGGCAGAAAGAAAACAATCGGGAGTTGCAGTAAGGGAGAGGGAAATAAGTAGGATGGCAGCGCACTGTGTGCACTGCGAAGAGAAGAAGTAGCTTTGAGTACGTCAGCTTTTCAAACTCTCTGCTGTCATTTGTTCCTGGAGTTGTAGGGCTTCATATCCTTGTCTAATTGCAGGGCTTTGGGTATAGCAGCAGCCAGAGGAGTTGGGTTACACAGGCAAAGCTATATCTGCCTTTCTGTCATCACCAATCAGGATGAGGGCTATATGCGTAACTATCATTGGCAGTTAATACCTCCAGCTTACAGAGGCATTGCGGACACGTCCCAGTGGGCCCTTTGCCTCAGTTAAGCATCCCACCCCTCAGTCAACATGTACCTGTCACGTGCCTCGGGTCCCTCAGTCCTGTTACTGACATAATGAAACCTTATAATATTTCGGCAGGCCTCGGCTTGTGAATACACATACACACACAGTCACATATAATCTGTGTTACTGTAACAGAGAGAAGATAACAGGAACTATATATTTGCCTTTAAGTCTCACTCTTTAATTTTATTTCACTTGATTGGGAGTGGACCTCACAATTGAGATCTAACTCCAATATAAGGTGCTAGCGCAGGAGTTGGCGTCCAACACAGACCTTTTTATTGACTATACAACCAGAACCTCAACCTCTCAAACCTTAAGGGCTGGCCACATCAAAAAGATAACTATAATATATAATTTCTGAAAATAGTTTGGCTCAAGAGTCCTCACTACAACTATAACAACCACAACAGTGGGAAATTATGTTTTTGGGATCACAGCGATTTTATGACCGATACAAACTCTGAGAGACAATTAAAATACAAAAGAGTATTCGTTTTTGAGGGTGGATTAATAAATTGTGGTCATATTTCTTTATCAGCAATAAAGAATAGATAGGAATAAACAGCATCGGTCTCTTGTCGCCTCTATAATACTGTGCATATTTCGACCCCACACTGTGCGACACTGCAGCGGCAACTTTTCAACGCTTTTGTTAGGAAAATATCACTCGACACCAGGTTGAGAATCAATAATCAGGTTCTAGTTTATTCTTGCAAGAAGGAGCAGAGTTAACTCTGCTCCTTCTTGCAAGAATAAACTAGAACCTGATTATTGATTCTCAACCTGGTGTCGAGTGATATTTTCCTAACAAAAGCGTTGAAAAGTTGCCGCTNGGCATGCAATCCTTTCCATAACCTCTAAATGATAGTGTTTTATGGTGCGGAATTGATAAATATGGAATATGTGAGAAAGATCATCTGAGTTCTTACCATAAAGTCAGTGCGCTTCTTGTGCCGACTGAGAAGGGGATTGGGTTTCCCTGCAATTCCATCCCGATGCCTTCGGCTAGATATATGCTGAAAAAAAATGAAAAAGAATGATAAATATAATTGTATTTATTGGGATTGCTAGTGCCATTATAACCACCGTGGTTAACCACTATTCCCTGTGTTTAATTTTTTTTATATTTCTGTTGTAAATTATTGTCTTTTACTGTGATTGTAGTAATGTGTTTTTATGACATGTACAGCACTATGGCTCGACCAAAAATCGCTTTTAAATGTGCTTTAAATAAAACTTGATTTGATTTGACCGTGTGGGTTTTTCTCACTTGTTTGAGCTGCAGTTCTGAGTTGACTCTGACATTGCAGATCTCACAGTGGAAGGTGCGTTCCTGAGTGTCGGGGTCAGAAGACAGCTCCCCCCCCTGCTCTGGGCTGAGTTTAGGGCCCAGACGTGGATATGCTTTAATGGGCCCCAGTCCACTGCGAGCCTCCAGAATGGTTTTGTGTTTGGTACCTTGAAACAATAAAAAAACGGTTTAATCTACAATGGCAATTAGGGGGCGTAACTTTGTAATGCATACACTGAAAACTAAGGCTATTTCAAAGTTAACGTTGACGACTAGACATTAAAGTGCAAAAAAGGAATGACACTTAGGAAAACTACATCAAGTGATATGACAGAGCTCTCCAGAACATCTACTAAAGGACCTTGTCATGACATTGTTTGCTTAAGCTGTGTCAATGTTATAAAAATATATCCAATTGAGGTATGAGGGTTTTCCTGTTATTGCATTCACTGCCTGTGACAATATATAGTGTAGGTTGTAGGAGGTCAAGTTTTTATGACCACCAATATAACCATTTAGATCATGCAGTTTTGAACCTATCATTCTCTCCACTAAGTGGTGCTAATGCACCTGGTTTAGCTTTTAGGACTTAAAATGCAGAATACAAGTGCTTTGAAAGAGCCATGCTTCAGGTTTTCTGAAGTTTGTTCTAAAAGTGAATAATACTTAATGCTGTTGTTTATCGGGATTAATTTCTTGCATGTTTGGCATACTCAGTGATGTGATGTTCTTGTGAGCATGTTCACTCCTACCTTTGTTATGTGCCTCCAGTTGTGAGAGGGAATTCACAGCAACTTTGCACAGGGAACAGTAGAGAAGCTTCTTGGCTTTCTCTTCCTCTGATTCTCCTGAAGAAGGGCTGGGTGCTGGAGACGGGGTGTCGGGAAGACCAGCCGCTGCTGGTTCTACTGGGGGGGTGCTGAGGAGCGCGGTGGGGGAGGGAGGGGAGGGTAAAAGTGTGCTGACAGAAGGCATGAAGGGACACTCAGCATCTGAGCTCAGTTTGGGTGTTGGAAGGCAGATAGGTGTCAAAGGTGAATTGTTAAAGTTGGGACAGTTTAGGATGTCATCTGTAAAAAGCACAATGTTTTCTGATTAGTCAACTATTTGTCCAAAGTCAGCCATATCATTAAGTTCAACTCTAATTGTCAAGATATAAAAGTATGAAAACAACAACTTTACAAAAGATTTGAATATCTTCTTATTATAAACTTGGGCCTGGCAAAAATTACATATGATAATCTGTTATATTTCAAGGCAATCAAATCTTGATGAAATCCTATTTGAAGATATTGTGATACGTAAATACCTTGTGTATATCAATAATAACAAGCATATACTAACTCGTATTTCTCAGGAAATATGATGCAAAATATTTTTGAGGAATATAATATGTGTTGCTTTCTGTATGTTACCTAATGTAGTTATTGACCGGAGAACATGCTATATCGAGATGCAGATAGTTTTTGAGATATGAAAGTAGCTATATTGGGAAAAAAGATTTTGGCCATTTTACCCATCCCTATTAGAAAGCAGGGCATCAACACTCATCTCTGCTTAGTTTCTATCCTATTACTTCACACAACAGCTGTGCTGTGCATCTTTGCCATTTAGAGACAGATTTGAATGTGTGTGTGCATGTGTGTTTGTGTGTAACTTCATATGTCACAGGTGATGCTCACCCTGCTTATTAGGATCAGGCTCAGGGCTAGATGGCGACATGCCTGGTGGGGAGGGAGATGCAGGGGGAGGGTGCTGCTTGTCGCCATCTTGGAAACGAGATGTTTTGGATGTTTCAATCCCCTTCACCCTCCGAGCATGGCGGTTCCCCTTGTAGTGGGCCTCTGCCTGGCTCTGGTGGAAAACAAGACATATCTGAGGTAAAATGAAATCCTGGATTTCATTTGGCATGACTTGATTCATGAAAATGTATCTTCCTCCCTTTTTTCTTTGACACTATGACCTTCAGTTAGAGAGTCATTGAGGTCAATAAAGAGAACCACACTCCAAGTGAGCTCTGTTCCATTAGTAACACTGGTATTAAACATTTGACTTTTTTGTTGCCTTTGACCTTAATAGTTACATTGTTGTGCCATAATTAGTTGTTTGTCTGTTTATTAGTAATTAATCATAACCTTTTCAATGTAATGGATAAACATGGGCTTGATAGTTTTCTATTACCAAAGAGCCTCATCCAATACAGGTAAATGTAACACCAGTTAAACCTTTAATATGTAAGTCCAATATATATAAGTGAACAAAGCAGAAAGCACCTACAGTAGATGCAAGAGCTATCCAGTGATGCAAGTGTGGATGTGTTGATAAAGTAGCAGGAAGTGATCTTTGGTTTGATACGAGGGGGGCTCAGGAGACTTCAGTGGACTTGTATAAAAGAAAATGTTACTGAACAAACCCATGTCTTTTTTGTCCCATGGATACTCCAATAAGTCCTCACAAATTACGGCAATCTGCGTTTTCTGTGTTATATTATATATGGGAGGCTCTGGCACAGTGGATCAAGGGAGCACAGGTTCAAACCCCACTGCAGTCAGCATGTCGTGTGTCCCTGGGCAAGACACTTCACCCCAAATTGCTCCTGTGGGGATTGCCCACAGTATTGAGTATGTAAGTCGCTTTGGATAAAAGCATCTAACAAGTAAAATGTAATGTAATGTAATATTAACTGGCTGTGGAGACGATGGTTTGCGGGTCTGATGTGCTGATGAGGTTGTCAGGGAAGATTAGCCTCTAGAATATTCTTGTCTTTCAACACTACTGGTGTAATCACTGAACTGGCCTGCTGAGCTCATGATGATTATTGAGTGGTGGGATTATCTAAAATGGGTTGGAGGGCTGGGGGCACCATTGACAGTTGAAAGCTACTGAGAGAAAAAAGGGAGACAATCAAGAAGTGTTGTTATCTGGATGTTTGCCTGCTTGTCCATGTAAATTGCAAGGGGTTAGTTTAGACTCAAGGGAAACATCAAGAGGAGTGGACATTTCAGTAAGTCCTCAGTAGTACGGGTTGTAGAGTTTGGTGTCAGGTTATCAAAGCTAAAGTTAAAGTAACAGTAGACTATATACAGTACGTGTTTAAGATGTAATCCTTAAGATTTGCAGGAAATCCGACCCCATTTTGTTACTATTTTTAAGGTTGGCTTTTTCAGCAAAAGCCATTTAATATATTTACAATGTGTTAGTGCCTGTACTCTATACAATTTGTATTTACAGAAAACACTGTACGAATGTAATCCAGTGTTTTGTGTTCATCTGATTGATAGCAGCCTCACTATTTACTGTTCACTCACTCAATATAAACATTTTCTACTGCTGCTTCACATTCAATATATTCAGCTGGTGGAAACTCTTTTATTGTGAAGCAGTGACAGGAAACAAAATGTATTGGTCAGAGCTGACAGCGATCATTCATCAAATCTGCACATGACGACAATAGACTAACTGCTTATGGAGAGATCAAGGTTAAGGTAAATAAACTATTGTTTAGGACATAATTAATATTTGGCATCTAAAACAAAGACAAAGGCCTGTCCACACCATGATCGCTTACTATTATGATATCTACAGTAGGCTATACATTTTAACAATATGAACATTGGCTCCAAGCTCCAGCTGAACCCCAGAATATGTATTGATGAGCTGTTCCTGCTGTGTTTTGCTAAAAAAAAGTTAAAGAAATTAAGATAAGAATATAAATAATGAGACTAACAAAGCTGTTGGAGAAATACTGTTTTCTCCACTCTTTGGGTTGTTTTAATGCACTGATATCATGTGTGGCTCTGAAACGTGTACGGCCTTGCAGCTGCCTCTTTATGATAAGAGAAGGCAGAGCATTTTAGGTTGTTGATCTAATCTGAGGAGACAGGCACATACTTGTTGTCTCCTACATTATCTCACATTGCTGGGAGTCCAGAAATCGCAGATGACCCAACTTTCCGACACCCGCGGCTGACATTCCGGCACCCCCGGCCACCTCGATTTACGGCTTTGTTCTCAGTAGGGCCTGGCTCATTTCGTGGCATCTACAGGCAGTGGCAAGTACTTCCGGCATCTGCCACAGAGGCCGCTACTCCGTCGGTATCTCGCTGGCAAGTACTATGCCACAGATGTGGTATCTGTGGGCAAGTATATGCAAAGTCGCCGTGGCAAAGTGCAAACATGCCAAACTTGCCGTCGGCAAGTATACTGCCGATTATATATGCCACAACTTTGCCGTGACAAGTATATGCCACAACTCTGCCGTGGCAAGTAAATGCACAAGTTAAGAGCTAAGAGAAGGTTTACCGGTAGCTGCCACACCGCCTTCCGTGCGCACAATGCTGTATTTAAACCCCGTATTTCACTCGCGTAAAATTGTTCGCTGTTTTTGCAATGACTTTATCGGACTGATCTGTACACAAGAGCTGATGATCTGTTTCCTTGATGGTCCTATCATATTATTTTTCAAAAAGATATATGTTTCAGATTTTATCTTGGGAGAACGTGGGGTTTTGTTAAATAAATAACACGTGCTATTTTTTATGATAACTACTCCAACGATTAATATAGTAAGTTGACAATAAAGATCTAACATTGTTGACCAGACGGTGGAATAGGCTAACTTGTATACTCCAAGTTCTGTACTGGGAATTTAGAAATAGCCTTAGTTTACTTTAGTTGAGATGTAACATGGTATGTTAGTAGTAGGCTACTTACCCCACTACAATTCAGATGTACATTGTGTAATTGTAGCCTACTCCCTACATTTATTTATACGCCACCTTTAGTTACTTTACTACAGATTCTGATTAATGATGATACATATAATCAAGTCTTAAATCCAGGACTTTAATAGTTTACTCCTGGGGGAGTAAATTCACAAGACTACCCTGACTACAGTATACCAAAGTCATTAAAACTAGGCTGCGACCTTTTACCCAGCTTTGAGAACACTTTCATGATCACATCATCTATAATGAAAACATGTAATACCATTTCTAAGGTATATTGTGTATTGCTAATCATCTTTTGCGCTTTTACTTGATAACATTTTAATGCATGACTTTTACTTGTAACAGAGTATTCCAACATTTTAAGGTTGCGCTTATTTCTACTTTTACTTCACACTGGAACGCCGCCGTGGTCGGCTGGTATTAGCCTACCGTAAACCAGCCACGTGTCAAAAATGAACGAATGGCATT